CCACTGCCACTCAATACCTTTTAGATAGCATCATGCTAATACTATTTACACTATTACTTAGTCTTTCAAAAAAATGACTTACTAGCTGTAAGGATTAGCTAAAAATCAATTACAAAAGTTATGAAATGAATAACAAACATAAACTGTTCTCAACACGTATTTCAAGCCTAATGTGTAATAATAATAATAATAATTTCGTTTTGGTTAAACCACGTCGATTTATTTACCTTGTTAGGACTCTCGCCGACCATGCACATGGTCCGGGGTTCGAGCCCACGCCGACGCACACCTGATATCTATGTTCGGCCTGAGAATTTCGGGCTACCGATATCCACGCTGAAAATTCCACACTTGTCCCAAAAATACGGTGTGGAATCAAGCTGTAATCAAAAATAAAAAATAAAATAAAAATAAATAAATAAACATGTATCTCCCATCAACTGGTTGACTAAAAAAGTGAACATTTTATTATCACTGAAATGAAAAAAAGTATAACTCATTACGCACTTTAACTCATATGGACGAGAACTCCAGAAATAGATTTTAGGAAACGTCTGAATGAAGTCATTTTAATTGGTTGTGTACCAGGAGCTGGAAACAGAAGCTGCTTTCACTAAACTGCAGACTCATAAATAATATTTGGGAATTCTAGAACTATTTATTGATAGTATTTTACATTTTTAAACGCCACTGTAGAGTTTATGTTCCACGAATTCTTGGGGGTAAAGTTTAATAGTGTCACCAGTAACTGTATTTTACCATGTGAGTGGATTTTATAGATATCTGAATGAATATTTTTGCTACATTAAAAATTTTAAGTAGATGACGTGTTTTAAATACTGTCTAGAACATAAACATTGCACTTCTCGGAATTAAAACATATTTACTTTTCCTGAAAAGAATGTTTATTTTTTAATGTACCACAAAGTTTATGCTAAAAATAAAAATAGATTTATTCTGAGCAATATATATACACAGTGTGTTGAATGTTAACAGTAATTTATTGCGTAATATTTTCTTCTCATCCCCAAGTTGTAAGCAAAGTAACAGTCCACAGTATACCACGTGACCCAGTTCTTTTAGATATGAAAGCACAGGCTAATCGCTTATGATGTTTTTTCCCTTTATCTCCGTAAAATGCACACCGGGTGGTTTGAAAGCCAACTGAGTACATTTTATGATTCAGTGACATAGCTGAGTAGTTAAGATAAAACATGATTTATTGTTTCAAGTAGCCCAGGGATTCAAGCAAACCGCCAGAGTATTCTTTAAGAAAAAATTCTGTCTAGTTAAATATGATATACCCCTGTTGTATAGTAAAGTTTCTACTGTGCATTATTTTTTTCAAAAATTTTATTGCTTTATGTTCCCAGTGGGTCATAGGGCTTCAAGCTAGACACTTGAGATTTCAGTAGCATTGATTTTATGTTTTATGGGGTGAGGTTGCTAGCCTCACGCCCAACCCTCCCTCTTTAATGGTTTTATTAAAGGCCTAACGAGGGAATAGAGCCCCAAACCACATGCGTGATTGGCGAACATTCTACTGCTGTGCCTTTTCAATTAATAGCCTTAATGTTCTTCACACGAATACATACACTCACCTTAATCTACTAATTATCAACATAGCTAATATTATTCGTGAGTTGGTTTTGCTTATAAGTTGTTTATAAGAATTAGAAATTAAAGGGAAGAAAGAATGTTTAGTGTAGGCAGAAGTTGGAATTCATGGGCAAATGGATAAACTGGTTCCCAGTAGCTGAATGGTCTATGAGCTCGCTTTGTAACTGGAAAGTTCTAGGTTCGAGCAATGTCGGTGGGTGGGTACTGCTAAGGAGCCACAAGCCAGGGCGTAACTGCTGTCCAGTACTCCCTGATGGTTTCCTAATTCCTCTTTAACTGATGTAAACTCATGATCAAATCTGTAACCAGTCGAATCCCTTCAAATTCAACACTTGATAAAAGTTAGATTAACGAAGTTGTTGTACTTTTTTCATAAATGTATTGTGTCTAGAAAATATTGTAATTATATGAGAATTAATTATGCTCTGCGGAATGCATATTAATGTTGAAGAAAATGACTTTATTTTCATAGTCAATTTTGACCTCTGATTGCTGTGTTGTCGTTCAACTTTTAAGTTTTTATTTATACTCTTGTTTCTACAGTCATAGATTGGGTGGGTTTTCCTATTATGTTCATAACATTCGGGGATAATTCTTTCGTTACGGTTTTATCTCGACACATTTTTTACTACAAAGTTTCTGTTACTTTTTATTTTGTTATTTTATTAATGAACCATTTTCATATACATTAAAAACAAGGTAAATAAAAAAAAATAATCGAAACGAAACCTATGGGTTAATTTGGTATTTGGTAGCAAATCATTCATTTATTTTATTACGTTAATGCTAGTGTAGTGTAGGGATGTGGATTCATAAGAAAGCAATATTTTAAGTCAATGGCCACAAATGTGGAGGGGTGTTTATTTCCTGATATTTAGATTTAGTTTATCTTGTGGACATGAAATAACTTCACCGGACAACTTGTTTCACCTTGGGACAATTGCCAACCAACCAAAACAGTTTGTTGTCCTTCGATCTGGTCAACTTTTAATGTAGTTACAAGTATGTAAATATGATGTGTTTTTCCGTAATAGCAAATTGCATTACCAATTTTTTTATATTTGTATAATGACTGTGTGTTTTTCTCGTTCTAACATTCTGTTCGCTTTTTCCAAATTTAATTCATTTTATACCATCGAGTTAGCTTCCTTTTTCACAAATTAACAAATAGCATAGTCAGTGGAATAAGTTTATTCTTTTTTTATAGTTTAAATAACTTTTTTTCATTCCTTCATGTTCCCAGTGTAACATAGGGCTTCAAGCTAGAGGCTTGAAATTTCTGTAGCAGAGTTTATTTTTTACAGGATGGGGTGCCTAGACTCATGCCCAACCTTTCCTCCTTGCCAGCCTTTTTTATATTACTGGCTTAAAGGAATGCGTCGGCCGGGGATCGGACCCCGGACCACATACGTGGTCGGCGAGCATTCCACCGCTGTGCCACGGACGCACTCATATTCTTTAACACATTGGTTGCATATTTTTATTATTTGATGAGATCCATGTGGAAATGATTAGATAAGAATCACTGAGATTATTTTATGTGAATCAGGGTCAGTTGAAGCTTTGAATACAAATGAATTTATTGCTTTGTTTTTCTTCCTGACTTTATAACTTCTGGGTTAATAATTATTAGGGAAAAATGATTTTTATTTGCAGGTGAAACAAATGGTTATCGGGTATAATCAACGTGCTTAAATCACAAAGCAGTTAAATTTTCAGTGGAACTTGATACAGATTCCAAATGTATCGGTATTGCATAAAACTACAGCCAACTATTATTTTATTTCGATATTTTGCAACACAACATGATATGATAACTTGGATACCAGGCAAATTACCCAGTATTGTTTGCTAGCCAGGTCTAAAAGTGAACTGAACACTGGGTGGCCTTTCGCTTGTTTATAGCTGAGGTCATCAGGGTGAAGTTCAACAATAGCATCCCAGGAATGCAAACGCTCCAATGACCTTGAACGTATGCTAGTCATTGACTAATTGCACCTGTCATTACCATAGCTGAAATATCAACGCTATTCACCAACGAAGGAGCAAATTTCACCCAGATCACGTTTTTTAAGTACTGTTTGGACAATGTGTTAATATCTCGTTAGGGTTAGGATTAGAGTTAAGGTAAGTATTGAGGTAAGGATTAGGATCAGCGTCATAATTAGGGTTAGGTTTCCTTTTAGGATAGGGGTTGTAATTATGGCTATGATTAAGGTTAGGGTTACTAATAGGGATAGATTTAGAGTTGATGTCATTATATTTTATTATCCACATTTCCCTGGTAAGTAGTCGTCGATCCTCTTACTGGAAACCGTAGTAATTCAGCTGGTGGCTTTTGGGGAAGACCGCACACCAGGATAAGAGAAATAAATGATTCAAAAAACAGCTCATCCTTAGTCAGCTCGGTGAATATATGCACAGAAACTAGTCTGATGTAGCAACTGATACTCCTCATTATAACTGGGACGTATTTTCAAGTCGTGTCAGAGAAAGATACCGTGTTTAGTGTGTTTTCATGCATTTTCTTGTAAATATACGTCATTTTTTGTGCAAACATTCCTCATTTTTGTGACTGGTCGGCTCAAGGTCACTCGTGCGTTCCCTTCTTTCGAAACCCTATTGTTGAACTTTTCCGTCATCAGCTCTGTGCCCAGTTGGATTCAGCTCAGAGGGGCGAATCGATTCAAATCTCCTAGATATACTGTTGATTGATGAGGTTTGCTCCAAAGAAGATAAGATCCCCTGTGATGTTTAGATCTAGCTAGTAAGCCCTACTGGTGTTGCTGTACGTCATATCCAGTTACTCGTATTAATCAATCAATGGTGTATAGCACCAAGCACTCATAATTATTTTAGGCAAGGGAATAAATGAGTCAAGAAACACTTGAATTTCAGATGAAACTTTTTCATAAATTACTGGGTAATTAAATAATTTTTTTTAACTTTCAGTGCCAATTTAAAGGGTTTTGTCAATTCTAATTAACAGTGAAAATTTTACATGAAAGGACCACTTATTTTAGGAATTAAATTGCTGGTAGTGTCCAATATTTATTGAACAAAGCCTAACAATGCGATGATTTAGACACAAATTTTTGAGGACAGTATATTTACATAGTTTATCCATAGAGAAATTTTTATAATTGAATTTAGTTATCAATAAATTTTATTTTGAACTTCAGCGTTCATCAGTAATTGTTCGTCATACGAATAAACACTACACTACAATATCTTCAATTTTTTAAGTTGTAATGCAGTGAAATCATAATAATGTTTTATATTCTTCTGATTTACTTCCTTTTTTTTCTGTATCTTTTCACCTCAAACACCGTTTCCATTGCTGACACTTGGTCATCTCTCTTTCGATTCATTATTCACAGGATTTATTAACAAAAATGTTGAATCCTGAACCATCTAAACGATGTACAGCTAGCATGATTCTATCACACCCATGGATTAAAAATCGTGAAGAGCTATCACCTGATCTATTAGCCAATTTTCAAATACACGATGTGAATCAAACTAAAGTAAGTGTTATGCACTATTTTCCTGTCTCTTTTTTTTAAATTCAATATTTTCACTAAAAAATACCTTGCAAATGTTTTTATTATTTTTTAAAAACAATATATATTGGTTACATTAATGAATTAACATAAACATCATGGAGGGACAATGGCGTATTATTATTATTCTCTTGGGTTCCGAGTGAAACATATGGCTTCAGCAAAACACCTCCACATTCTTCTATTTTCTACTGTCTTTTTCAGCTAGGTCCACGATTGCCCATAGTCTGTCATCTCTTCTAATCACGGTCTTCTCTTTCACTCTTAGACGACTGATTCGTCGTTTGGGGTTCCATTCGAGTGATGGCCTACGCTGCGCGTGATGTCATTCGACGGTTTTCCCAGTGTGTGCCTAAACTAACTCCATTTTCTCCTACCTATTTCTTCAGCGATAGGATTTTGGTTGATTTATTACACTGCAGAGTTTCTTGTTGTTCCTAATTCTTTCTGGCCATTTGGTCTTCGACATAGAATGCAGGCAGCTGATGATAAAAGTCTGCGGCCTGTTGGAAATGCTTTTCGTAATGCACTTTTATGAACAATATAGATCGAGTGACTTAACATCAGTGTTGAAATATTCTAATAATGTACTGTTACTGGTGTGGAGTTTCTTCAAATAATGCCACCTAGATAAATGAAATAACTGACTTCCTTGAGGTCTCTCAGATTTTATAAGTCATGACTAATTCTTGTCAGTGGAGGTGGTGGTAGTGATGACTGAGTATCTTCATTACCTCTATTTTCTTCATGTTCACTTGGAGTCTTGTCTTCGCCATTTCTTCAGCCAGATTATTTGTTTCTCTCTTATAAATCTTCAAGTTCTTGTGACATTCACCTTAAATCGTTCGCGAAATTCAGATCTTATAGAGTCTTCTTATCGGTTCGGTGTATTCCAGTCTCTTCCCTCGTCACAGTCTACCACATGATCTAGTCGACCGCAATTAGGAATATCACCGGTGATATTAGACACCCTTTTTTCATCCCTCTCTTTGCTTCTATGACTTTGCTGTGTTTTTCCGTTGTGGATCACTTGACATGTAGCATCATCATCATCATCATATAGCTGTTGGATGAAGGTTTCAGGGCACGCCATAGTGTTGAAGCAGTTTCCAAATTGATTCGTGGTCAACGATGTCGAATGACTTTTCAAAGTCAGTGAAGTTGAGGTAGAGATTGGACTGCCATTCTATGCTTTGTTCGATGACGTCATGTAAAGTTGCACTCTGCTCCATTCATGATTTACCTTTTCTGAATCCAGCTTGTTCCAGACGAAGTTTTGCATCTAGTTCATTTTTATTCTCTCCAGCATGACACGACTTGGTATTTTATTTGGCATGGACAAGAGCATGAATCTACGCCATTTTTCTCGAAGACGTAAGTCGTTCTTCTTTGGTAGTTGGACAGGGTAGCTTTCCTTCCTATCAGTAGGCACCTTTCCCTCCTTCTAAACTTTTTTGCAATAATGACGTGAGCTCATCTACCACAGTCTCTGTGTCCGTTCCCAGTCCTTCGGAAAGAATTCCGTCTGGTCCTACTGCGATATTCAAGGAAACGTGTACAACTGTTCTAGGAAAAAAGAAGAGACAAGACAAAGAATGGCTCTCATCGGAAACCTACCTAGAAGCTAATAGAAGAGAAGAGAGGAGGATGGTGAAAGAGAAGATGACTCAATGCAAAGATGACCAACAGAAGGAGAGGCTGAGTTCAATGTACACTGCAATGAATAAAGATGTGAAGAAGAGTTCTAGAAAGGACAAAGGAAAATTATACGACACACTGTCAACAGAATCAGAACAGGTTACAAGTGAAAGAGACCTCAGAACATTACATAATTAGATAGAAGGTCTCTTAGTGGGAAGAGATCAATGCAGGTGGAACCAATAAAAGATGGTCAAGGTGTGGTGATGTGATACAGACAACGTGTTCCAACCGAATATTATTCTCACATACTCTCACAGTTTAATACTACATTAGCAACAGAATAACATATATGCTTGAAAAATCTATTTCATGTCGTTTAATGTAAACCGAAATCACTCGCTCAGTGATTGGTTAAAGAATATAAACTATATATATATATATATATATATATATATATAACCTGTTCTGATTCAGTTGACAGTGTGTCGTATAATTTTCCTTTGTCCTTTCTAGCACTCTTCTTCACGTCTTTATTAATTGCAGTGTACATTGAACTCAGCCTCTCCTTCTGTTGTTCATCTTTGTCAAATGAAGAATAAAAAGGGTTGTTCTTCCTAACGTTTCTGAATAAGTCAGTAGTGACATGCCTTACACTTTCCTCATCACATGAAATGTGTCCCAAATATGTTATCAGCAGAGCTTTCATACTTATTCGTCCGAGCATACAGTCTCCCATACTTGCTTCTAGTTCTACCCAATGAAATGCAAAGAGGGAATAGTGTATATAGAGAGAAATGTTGCTCAGATTCCAACAAGTTCACATTCACCGATTTCTCACATGCATTCAAATGTCTTTCCACAACAATATTAACAGTATTAACCCTGTAACGACGGAAGACAATCGCCAGGCAACAGATCGTTTATTACGGAAATCAGCACGTATTTGTATATATTTCATGTAAATTATTATAGTTTATTTAAGCAGACAGACACAGTCTTCTGATTGGTTGTTTCTTGCTCAAGGTTATTCTGTGCTGCTTGTGCCTGGTTTCTCAGAAAGTTAAGTCATATATTTGCGAATCGTATTTACTCACGTTAAGTCTGCTGTGATTGGTAGTTGAATCAGTCTTGTTCATATTTTCTCACGGCCAATATTAGCAACTTAGACATTGACGTAAATTAATGTCTACCAATTGGCTAGCAGCCTGCTCTCACAACAACCCCACTTGCCCTACTGATGGCATTTTGGTGCCTCTTTTAGAGTAACAAAAACCCTTTCAGGTAGCTGAGGAAAGATTAAGTTGAAGCAATAAAAAAGAACAAGAATTAAAAATCACTTTTGTACAGTTATAAAAAATTTGCCAAAAAGCGACTCTTCACGGAACTATTTGTCTTGATTTTATTAATATCTGGATGGAGACTATTCATGAATCAATATATGATATGCTGCTAAACATACTGACACATTCCATAGCATCAACTTTTAAAGCTATTTTGTTTATTTCTCATTCATTCATTTGTTTGTTTGTCTATTTTTCGTTTTTATCTTTCTTTGTATAGAATTCCGTTGAGGCTACCTTTAAGGCATTGAACAGTACAACTAAAATACCAATATTAGAACCAGTTGAATCATCAAGATTAGCCAAACGTCGAGTGCAATCTAAGCCTAATTTATCTACTCAAACAAAAGAAGAGAAATCATCGTTCTCTTCGGTATCTTCCTTGACAAGTACTAAATGTCATAAAGAATAAAAAAAAGTACTGTTCAGCTAAATTCTCCATCTTCTTTTTTTGTATTATTTTTTCCTCCTTTTCAAATTTCTCTATTAATCTCCCCCCCTTTTTTTTCTACATTTTTGTCTTGATATAATACTCATTATTGTGTAAATCTTCCCGCTGATAAATAAATGTTTGTATTTTATTTATTTTAAAATGTAACAATTATTACTTGTAACACTTAATTAAGTACACTAGTGTTTTCAGTGTACTTTAGTGTTAATCAATTATTTTTTCATGATCACTTTCAACTTTGTAAAGAAATTAAAGTATGTCTTGATATACACATTTATACATATATATGCATATTTATACCTATAATATATATATATATATATATATACAAATCAGTGATAACGTGGACAGTATAAAATGCTGAATTTTCACTAATTACCAGTAATATTAGAATGACTGATTCTTTTTTATTTTATTAAAGAAGATTTCATCTGCTTGATATTGAATGCACATCTGGAGTAAAGTGTATAAAAACATTTCCTATATATATTTGTGTTAACCTTCGCCTTCCTCTTATTCTTCTTCTTCTTCTTCTTATCTGGTTCTGGTAGTCAGAACATCCCCCAATGAAGTCGACTTTGAATTATAGTGTTAAAGTTACACTAGTCTGTTTTTCTCCATTAACATTTTTTTTTTACTACTCTACTACCACTGCTACCACTTCGAACAGTGTTATTCGATGAAGTGGCGACTCATTCACCTTTTCTCATTTTCGTTTATTTTTGCTTATACATTGTTACTTTTTTTTGTCTAGTCATGTCTCGTCTGTATTGACACTGTCTTTACAGCGGTTATCATTTTTCTTATAATAATAATTATTATTATTTTGGTTTTATTTTCTTAGTTGGTTCACTTTCTGCTTTATAACACATGCGTACACACTGCTTACTTTTTTTACGGTTTTCTATAGAATACTCTTCATTTCTTGTCTGCATTTTCTCTATTGATTTAATTCAAATAAACAAATAATGGAAATAGTTTGCGCGCGTGTGTGTGTATGTGTTTTGTTTTAATGTTTGGTTTACGTCATTTGATGATAAGTTATAGCTTTTTTGGTTGAAGGATTTCATCATGAGCTGTATCGGTTAGAGAACCGTTGGAAAACCTGCGGGAAGTACTGGGTGCATATTACTGAAGAGTCTCAAGCACTAGGACTAAACAGCTATGCAGTACTGCCTTCAGGTTTTCCACTGGTTTTCTAACCAACATAACCAATCAAACAAAATCCCTATAAGTCAATACCTTACAATTATAACTTCTTTCTTAAACTAAGCGTAAACATAAACTTGACAAAATGAATTTCAACAAATTGGAAATATCCTTTAAGTCGTATATATAAATAAGAGAAAAGATGTTCAGCGAAAAGCTATCCTTTTTCAGCGATATCACTCCCAAGCTGCATAACCGCATATATATATATATATATATATATATATATATATATATATATATATATATATATATATATATATATTTATAACGAATTACGTAATATAAACGACGTTCATTGGATAGAAACTAAAATAAAACTAAATGAGTAAATTGAGTTATGTGACACAATCGACAGGTCTGAGTACTATCCAACTGAAATTGAACTTGAGCCAAGTTAACAACAGAGCTAATAAGGGGTAGATATTTGATAGGGGACGAGAGAAGAAAATAATAACTGGTTGCTAAGATAGATCAGGTTCCAGTGATTATTTAATGGGGGAACAAACTTCTTCTGTAAGTAGAGTTTGCGATTTAACATGTAAATCCCCATTGCTTCTGCGGGATTTGAAGAAGTTTGATTCGTACTTTTTTGACAAGATTCCTGCATATTCTATAGATGACTTTAAAGTTGGTTTGTGGGTTAGCTTGTTGTCCAGATTTGGATCAGGCGTTCTAGGATTAAGTTGTGGCGAGGAGATCTTTTTTCTCCTTTATAAAACCATGAGGGTAAATGTCCGGTGATACGTTTGGATAGAGAATGCTGGCTACAACCAACATACCTAGCTCCACACGAGCAGGTGGATTGATAGATACCCACTAATGAGACCAACAGTGGTAGCTTATCCTTTGCGTCTATGCGAAGTTCAGTCACGAAGGAGGTTTTCTTCAGTAAGCGCTATAGACAGTTCCCCAGTATATCAGTAGGTGAGTCTCCGTTGAATTGTAGATTCAAGTAGAGAGGCCTTTCAGCAACAAAAATTTTGAGTGGGTGTGAATTTTGTAATATATCTTTTCAGAATGTAACGAAAGAATAGAAAACATGTTCCACTCTTCTAATCAAAGTTTATTTGTATTCAGATTATTATGAATTAAAATCTTACTGTACTTGAGTTTCAATAACTCATCATGTCACGTCAATAGATACAGGTGAGGAGCTAGGCTCGTTCCACCAATGATAACTAAACATTGAATATGGGCAACTCTTTTAAAACATGGTACCACTAATACTTTGTCTATTATGACAACCATACAGCTGTCAACTTTGGACTCTTCCTTGGATAATCAACGTTGTGTGTGTGTGTGTGCGTGTGTGTATACAATAGACGTTATTGATATAGATTTCTTATACAATTATCATTTCCTGATCTATGGGAATAAGTTCAAATAATTAATTCTTAATACGTGACTTTTTGTATCCAAAGTTGTTATTACTACCTTATCTGTTCATCTTGTTTATTTTGCCAGTGATTCTTCAGGGTTTTATAATTCTGTTATCCAATATTTAAAATTAGCACCATAAGTACCTTGCATAATCTCTGACATATTGCAGGATATAACAACTTCTTTATGAGTGTTTACTGAATAGCTGCAACTATTCAAGGATTAATTTCAACTTACCAAAACTGCATGTGGAGATTCGGATTTAATTCCTCCCACAAATGTTTGCCACTATTTAAAAGGAAATCGGTTATCTGTGATTCTTTACACATGACTTTCTTCAAAAAAAAAAAATGAAATAATTAAAACACCATAAAATCTGAAGAATACAAGATAATTAATTGTATTTCGTTAGTTTTTGCCAAACTAGAAACGAGGTGATAAACTTGTGTTACTTTCAGTTAATTCCCTTGATAAATCTGAAAGATACAGTGCTGAAGGCCACCATATCCAATGCCTTAAAAGCATTTCGTGATTATTTTGAATTCCCAGAGCTGATGCCATCCAGAGAATGAGAACTCAATTACTTCTTTAAAAGTAGACTATTTCTAACTTGATACATTGGTGAACACTGACTATTTCATTCTGTTTGTCCTCTTATCACCTAAATTAATCTTTACCTCCATTCAATCTCGTAGCAACTAATCTTTTATTAAATCCTTTATTTTTATTACAACTTGATTCCACACCGTAGTTTTTGGTAGAAGTATGAAGTTTTCAGCATGTGATATCGGTAGCCCAAATTTTGCAGGCCGACCATAGATAACAGGTGTGCGTCGGCAGAGGCTCGAACCCCGGACCATGTGCATGGTCGGCGAGAGTCCTAACCACTGTACCACCTTTCATTCACCCTTTTTCCTCATGTTCGTATAGTATGTCCATACATGACCACTTTTAATAATGTCTAATGTTACTTTCAACCTCGTCTAGTTTATTAGCTCGCTAGTTTTCTAACCGGTCTTAAGCCTGGGAAAAGAGGGGAGGTTGGATGTATGGCTAGTGAACCGATCCCAGAAGATTAATCCAACCACCATAGAGACTTCAAAATACAAAAAAAATGAAAAACAAACTTCGCTGAAATTGGAGAGACGAAATGATGCCTACTGAAGTAAACCTTCGGGAAGCCAGTCAACTGGTGTGTTTCGTCTGAATGAAAACAAAAATAAGTATCGGGAGGCAAAATGCTCATACAATAAACAAATCCAATGTTAAGTCACTCAATTCTTCTATATGAGTCAGAAACTTGGAGGGCGTGTCACTGGAAACGTTACCAAACACCAGCTACAGACTTTTATCAACAGCTGCCTTCGCTATCTCCATATAGGAGTTCAGATGGCCAGACAGAAAAAATTAACAACAAGAAACTCAGGAAAGGAACCTATTTTTCAACAGTAATGCTACAGAAAATGGAGATGAATGAGACACATGCTGAGGAGACTGTCCGGTAACATCACGCACCAGGCCATCTCTCTAGTGGAACTTGAATGGGAAACGATAAGTTGGGCGTGGGTATATTGGTGACTTGGAGGTGTTCTTGTGATGAGAAGACGAGAGTCTATATGCAATCGTACGACGAGTTAAGGAGTACTGTGGGGAACAGCTGCTCTGCTGAAACCCTATTTTCCATTCAGAACCCAAAGGAATAATAGTTATAAATGATACATTCAAATTCGATAAAGTGTTTGTTCCTGCACTAGAGATGACGATTTGAACAGTCATGCATATAATTATCTTCACTGACTCTTGAATGCATTAAGTTCATATGTTGACTGTGTGTGTTGCTTATTTTCGAGCTGCGTATTTCTGTGTATTGTAACCTTGAATTAAAATATCCACATTGACTATCCGGTAAAAATTAATATGTATTTCGGATATTCTTATGGTTTTTCTCAGAGTGCGATTGACATAAATAGTGTTTGCATACAATTAAAGTGCTACATAAACTCGTCGTGCTTTTTTTGAACACCATACACCAATGCATTTTCGCCTACGTCTTTCTTAATTATAATTTTATTCAGTGAGTTGATTTTGAAGTTTCTGGTGGTTAACATTTGATGGATTTCTAGATGCTGTCATTTCCAGTGGTAGAACACATTGGAGTGTTCAGCGTCGTCGTTAAGCTGATCAGTGAAAATCTGTGTGTGCGCAGTGAACACGGGCCTCACCAGTGTGATATTAGTCAGTAAGACTTCATGTTTTAGGCTTTTTTGTTTATATGTGAGGATCGATTTTTCAGTGTTTCACACTGTTGAATGTCTTTCATATAGTGAACTTGCACTGTTGACTGAGTGTTATGAAATAAATGAATTGCAATTGAGGTTGAATTTCACTCTACTTACAATCAGAGTGACCCATAGACTACAATCTGTTTGAATTCAATTAACTTATGCTATCCGCACCTCTCCCTCTATTGACTTTTCACTTATTCCAACCATCAGTGTTGTGTCCATCTTCATACTGAATAACAATATCCGATTCTCATACAACTTGTATTTTTTTCCTTCACGTTCCCAGTGGAATATATGGCTTCAAGCTAGTGGCTTGAAGTTTCTGTAGCAGTGTTTATTTTACAGGATGGGGTTGCTAGCCTCATACCCAAGCTTTCCTCTTTACCAGAATTATTTCTGGCTTAACGAGGTAAAGTAGTGAGTCGGCCGGGGATCGGACCCCAGACCATGTGCGTGGTCGGCGAGAGTCCTAACCGTTATGCCACCGACACTACAACTCGTATTAGACAATCAAATTAAGTTAAGTTCAATAATATCACCAATTTTTCGAGAACAGAAACTGTTGGTAACTAAAAAAAGGATTTCATCAACAGGAAACAACTATCACATTTATGACTAACCACTGACATCAAAAAGTAGTGGTATGTGTGCCAACTTGGTATACTTTTTATTTTGTGGATTTCCACTAGTGTTTTCGAAAAGACTGCATATTGTCATATGAATATTTTGAGGAAAGCATAATGAATTTACACACGGAACTGGGAAATCTGCCAGTAATCGGTTGTATTTTGTTGCCATTTTAAGTTAGTCTCATTCAGCCTCAATACTACCTAGTGTCCTAAAGGTGAATACCATTGGCTGGTATTCACTCACCTTTCTTTCTCTTCATTTCAGTATTTCGTTTACAACAAGTTGATCCTACTAAAGTGTTGTGTGGCAATTTCTTCGACAATAATAGTACAATAACCTTACTACTAATATTGCTGTTTTTTGTAATATTAAAGAAAAAATGTTGGTTGAACCGTCCATTTCTTTCTCATTACTCGATTTTTATAGATGCTGTTAAAGACTACACGCGAATGTCCAATGTTAAGTAGAAG